TCTCATTATAATGAGATAGTATCTCATTATATTGAGATACTATCTCATTATAATGAGATAGTATCTCATTATATTGAGATACTATCTCATTATAATGAGATAGTATCTCATTATATTGAGTTACTATCTCATTATATTGAGTTACTATCTCATTATATTGAGTTACTATCTCATTATATTGAGTTACTATCTCATTATAATGAGATAGTATCTCATTATATTGAGATACTATCTCATTTTAATGAGATAGTATCTCATTATATTGAGATAGTTTTTTTTTTTTTTTTTTACAGAGTGGCGGAAACGGGCTTTAATTTGAAGTTTTTTTCATGAAGTTGTGGTTGCTAGCTTAGCATGTAGCATCCCTGATGTCTCAGGATTAAATGTTTTTAGTCAATTAAATTTGTTAGGAATGTTAACAGTGATTTAATGATTTCAAAATAACTTTTATTTCTGTTTGAGTTAAACACCTTTGACGAATTAGATGTAAAATGTTTAAAACTTGATAGGGCTAGCTCTATGATTTAAAAAAAATGCATTTTGCTCTATATGTATATGTTGGGGAAATTACATTCAATAAATATTTAAATATATTTGAAGGACATTTAACATAATATATTATCAAGCCAAACTGTTTATTTTTTCTATTTAATAAAAAAGTGAACATTTTGAGTATTTTGGAAGTTGGCTGAATTTAAACCTGATAACAACTGGGAAAAAAAGAAATTAAGATTCTCAAGTTGTTTAGTTTAGTAAATGTGTTTAGGAAATGATCCATTTTTATTTGGTGTTTGATCAAAAAGTTTTTAAGGGTTATTATGTATTAAATCGAGTTTTTATTGGTTGGAAATGGGATAAATGATAACATAGATAAAATGATATAAGAGTACATTTTGGTTTGAGAGGATAATTTTTTATTAATTGTTTTAGGATAAAATAAATTTTGTTAAATACATTAAAACTTTAAAGGGGAGGGTTTTTAAAAAAAATGCTGTGAAAAACATGGTCTCCATGGATGCATGCATTTAACAATGTTAGGCTTTTTTTTTAAGGTGGCATATAATTTTGAATTTAATGGAAGGTCAAATGTGTTAATAATGTTTGATTGATTTTAAAAGTTTCTGGTTTCAAAGGATTATTTTTGGTTAGTTTGGTTTCCAATCCTTTAAAAACAAGGTGGCATCTGGCCCCTTCTGTCTGAGAAGGCCTTGAAGAACAAGTATGGTCTCCATGGATGCAACAATAAACAACTATAAGGTTTAAAATAATTGTGAAATAAAGATGAGATGCTTTACATTTTTAGGCTGTGTTTATTATAAGTGCTGCCATTGCTAACCATGTGAGGAAAGAATAAAGATAAATGTTTAATCAAGAGTTTAGAAAGGAGGATGATATGTTTATTTTACAGGTAGAATTAAAACATCAAAATAAAACCATATATTATATAAACGTTTTTCTGAGGACTCATTTTCTAGCTCTTCAAAACATTCAACACTGGATGGTTTCACGTAAACCATTGAAAGTTCTGAATAAGATCTTTCTTAGATTTTTAGAAAAAGAACAAAATTATTCTAAATAGTTTGCTAATGTCCATTTCTGCTCTGGGCTTTCTATGTGCTGATTAAGGTCTTTATTTCTACTCTAGGATGCACTGAGACAGGGGTCCGAAAAGCGGAGGTTTTTAAGCCTTTATTTCTGTTAATTAATAATTTTCTGCTTATAGTAATCAAACCTTAAAGATAAGATAAGATTAGATAATTATATTACCTAATCATAGTGATTTTTGTTTTTTTGATCAAACCTTTTTCTAATTCCTTAGTATGGGTTTAATAAAGGTTTACTGAAAGCTTAAAATGTCCTTTCATCTGAACAAATCCAACTGAATTGTCTGGGTCAGTAGCTCCCAAATGCGGAGGCGTGCCCCCTAGGGTGAGTTTGATGTAATTGCAGGGAGCGTAATAGAAATAAACAAAATAAATGGACCATTTGGAGCTAGGGCTGGGCGATATAGAAAAAAAGCTTATCGATAAAAAAAAATGCATATTGATCGATATCGATATTTATTGAAAAGATTTGAAACCATATTTTATGTGCAGCTCTGCCTAGACTTTTTATAATATTGCTAAATGATTTAATTTTAATAAAAAACACAAACACAGACTTCCAATTAAATATTTATTTAACCAACTTTTTTAACCATAACAGAATTGTTTTAAAGAAAAATAACTTAAAAGACCTGAGTTATGTTATTAAATACTGACTAAGAATAAACTAAAGTGACCAGAAAAGTGACCAAAATAAATATAACAAATAAATAAATGCCCCCCCACCGCCGCCGCCGCCCCCGTTTCCTGCTTTAACCTGAGTTATTACTTTGAAGTTTCTGGCCCCTCAGCATTTTTATCTCAATTGTTAGAACTACGTGGGAAAACTGCCCAGAACTGAAAATATATATACATTTTCCGAAGATTCCTCGGAGGAGAGCCGCGTCGGGGCCTACACAGCTCGTACTCCTGCGGCTGTGAGCGGCTGAGATGATAAAAAAAAGTTGGTTGTGTTATCAGACTTCGTTTTCACTGGTTCCAGACACATTTTCCAGATGACTGGTTTGTTTTTGGTCCGACTTGCCATGACCGAAATACTGCCAGACTGCCGAACTACAAAAACCCTTCTTTGGAACAATTTCCTCCGCCTCTCCTTGCTGCGACATCTTCATGTGCTCTGTGTTGTGGTTTGAGAGGGCGGCGCTTCGTGACGACGTGCCTGGGTCCGCGATTGTGATTGGTTGGGAGGAAGTAGTGACTAGCATAAACCTACATGATAGGCTACAATGAGAAGGAAGGAAAACTGCGTTTCTTTTTTATTGAACTTTTATCGACCCTCTTTTTTTCTATTGCGCCACACGTCTATCGATCAATATATATCGTTATTGAATTATCGCCCAGCCCTATTTGGAGCGTATTTTTATATTGATAACATCCTGAAAAAAAACCGGAACCCCATTAACCAGTAAAATAAAGATTGGAATTTAAAATGAAATTACAATTTAGTGGTAGTCTTGTGATTTAAAGGATACTGTAGCTTTCTGTTCTAAACCTACAGTATTTAACCCTCCACCCATTTCACCCAGCACCCAAATAAAATTATCAGTCAGGGATTAGGAAAATTGGCATAATTGTATGCCATGCGCACAGTGTAAATATGGCTATTATATGGCAGTCTTCTGTATAGAGATGCAGGTCATACATTAAAACATTTTCATTAAATTTTTTTTGTCTCAGACATTGGAGAGGTGCATTTTATAGAGCTAAACATGTTAAATTGGTGACCTGTTATGTTGTTATTGTCTTGTTGCTGCATTTATTTTGTCAGGGAAAACTGATCCATAGTCAGTTAAAAGTCAGGGAATTCTGAAATTATGTAAGAGTGTGGAAACCCTGTATAAAATAACTATGTATAATGATTCTCTAGAAAAGTCATATTATATTAATTGTATTATCTTGTATAAACATACCGTGACTCTAAAATAAGTTATTCATTTGTGACATTGACTTCTGTCTTGTGATTGATCTTAAGTTTTTTACCTGTCAAGTTTTATATTTTATTTTTAACATTACAATTTATATTTTTCCAAGCACACAACAGTGTAAAGCAAAGTTTAGTTTGAAAAGAATGTGTAGGAAGGATTGAAAAGCATGTTAACACGGTAATGTAGGCTTGAGTTCATTATCTGACATTTGCATACACACCAGGAACCTGTAAACTTACTGAATTACAAAAAACATATAAAAAACAAACATGTTTCATTGATATATCTGACAGCGCACCGCTGGTATGTGGGGGTCTGAGCGGCTCCGACAGAAAGAATATTGGAAGGCAGGATGAACTGACTGCACTGATTAAGTTTTCAGGTGGATTTTCCCACTTAAAAACATAATAAAACTACTTTATTCCCACTGATCACAGCAAATATAGCTGCAAGGCAAATAAAGGATAGAGTAGCTCCGCCCAACGCGCATCAGAGCCACTTTTGCACCGCTCAGGCAGAGCAGCAAAGCTTCTTCAGCCGCGCGTCAGAATTGGTCCGAGATAAGTTGTCAGACTTTTTTTTCTTTGGTGAATGCAATACGCTTCCGTAAGTTACTAGGTATTTTAGCCAAATTTCAGTGAATTTACTGAGCCAACTACTGAGTGCGTGCGACCACTCACCGATGCTCTGATGCTACAAGAAGCTAAACTGGGAATTTTCCGGATTCAGTTGCTCACAAGGGAAGCTTTCAGAGATTTAACAAAACAGATTTACCATTTTGAATGATATATTTTAGGAAACTATTTTAACATTGTTATTTCTTACCGATTGCCAAGATTCTTCATCAAATTTGACAACATTTTCCAGGCTATTAGTGGAAACAACCGTCAGCTGTGAGGTCTGTGAGCAAAATCTCAGCCTGTGCCAGCTATTGGTTGTTTAATCTGTCACTGAAAACAATTAAGGCATATTTCAAAGTTTTTAAAGATTTCTAGCACTTTTTATCTATATTTATGAACATATTCATTAAACAATTTTTTACTTTATAGTTTTTATTCACTCTTATTTTAGAATAAGACATGAAATCTATACCTTTTAAGTAGAACAAATATAGTAGAAGAAGATATTAAATCAAGATCTATACTTTTTTTTTTACTTGTGGTTTTAACACTGAACGCTAATGCTCACTGAGCCTGACTGAACAATCCATTCTGTAGGTTCCTCTCTGGTAATTTTCCATAATGAGGTCATAACATTCAGTTAGAGAAGCCACGCCCACTTTAGAACTGTGATGTCATCGTGAATTCTAAAAGAACCCGCCCCTGTTCCAACATTACTTAAACACCCACAAACCCTACTCAGCTCACAGTTTGTCTAGAAGAGCAACAGGCAACAAGGTCAAAACCACAGCGAAAAATAAAGAAAAAAATCACCTTCATTCATGTCGACAAATCAAGATAGTAACACCAGGATGAGACCTCAGAGTTCAGAAAACAATTCAGACGAAGAACCAAAGAGAAGATCTGAATGTGAGGACCCAAGCAAAAGACAGAGGGTCTCTGAGGCTGCTGAACCATCCACAAGCTGCCAGAACCAGCAAAGGACCATGGAAAGCGTAGAGAAGAATATAGCAGAAGAGGAGCCTGTCCTGTCAGCCAAGAGAAAGAGAAAGGAGAAACACACTGAGAAGAATCCAGTTACAGATTCATCTTCCTGCTCTTCGGAGAGCAGTGAATTCATCACGAAACAACACAGTTTAAAGTCCAGCACGGACAATTCAAGAACCAGGGTTTCTGAGGAAGTAGGACTCTCAACAAGCTGCCAGAGCCAGAAACAAAGGAGGGAAAGTGAAGAGCTCGAAATAGCAAGTGATGATCTGGCACTGCCAGCCAAGAAAAAGATGAAGACCAAACACCTTGATGAGAACCCAATTACAGATTCATCTTCCTCCGCATTGGAGTACAGCACAGACAGCTACAGCACCACGAGACAACAGATTTCAGAGTCCGGTACAGTCTGTCAACCAAAGGAAAGATCTGAATGTGAGAACCAAAGTAAAACAAGCATAGTTTCTGAGATAGCAGAACCCTCAACAAGCTGCCAGACCCAGAAAAGGAGGGAAAGTGAAGAGCTAGGAATAGCAAGTGAAGATCTGGCACTGCCAGCCAAGAAAAAGATGAAGACCAAACACCCTGATGAGAACCCAATTACAGATTCATCTTCCTCCGCATTGGAGTACAGCACAGACAGCTACAGCACCACAAGACAACAGATTTCAGAGTCCGGTACAGTCTGTCAACCAAAGGAAAGATCTGAATGTGAGAACCAAAGTAAAACAAGCAGGGTTTCTGAGATAGCGGAACCCTCAACAAGCTGCCAGAGCCAGAAAAGGAGGAGGGAAAGTGAAGAGCTAGGAATATCAAGTGAAGATCCAGCACTGCCAGCCAAGAAAAAGATGAAGACCAAACACCTTGATGAGAACCCAATTACAGATTCATCTTCCTCCGCATTGGAGTACAGCACAGACAGCTACAGCACCACGAGACAACAGATTTCAGAGTCCGGTACAGTCTGTCAACCAAAGGAAAGATCTGAATGTGAGAACCAAAGTAAAACAAGCAGGGTTTCTGAGATAGCAGAACCCTCAACAAGCTGCCAGACCCAGAAAAGGAGGGAAAGTGAAGAGCTAGGAATAGCAAGTGAAGATCTGGCACTGCCAGCCAAGAAAAAGATGAAGACCAAACACCTTGATGAGAACCCAATTACAGATTCATCTTCCTCCGCATTGGAGTACAGCACAGACAGCTACAGCACCACGAGACAACAGATTTCAGAGTCCGGTACAGTCTGTCAACCAAAGGAAAGATCTGAATGTGAGAACCAAAGTAAAACAAGCAGGGTTTCTGAGATAGCGGAACCCTCAACAAGCTGCCAGAGTCAGAAAAGGAGGAGGGAAAGTGAAGAGCTAGGAATAGCAAGTGAAGATCCAGCACTGCCGGCCAAGAAAAAGATGAAGACCAAACACCTTGATGAGGACCCAATTACAGATTCATCTTCCTCCCCATTGGATTACAACACAGACAGTGGCAACAACACCAGGGGACAACAGAGTTCAGAGTCCAGTACAGACGGTGGACATGAATATGAGAACCAAAGGAAAAGGATAGCTGAGCCCTCAAAAGCGGACCTCGAAAAAGCTAAATTTCAGGAAAAATATGTTGAGCTGAATAAACTGGTAGACAGAGGCTCTATATCTGTCTTTGCAGGCTATCGCATAGAGGATAACTCACCTGTGGCCATCAAACACATCCAAAATGTGGTATTGAAACATAGAGATGAGAACGGTAGAGAGCTCCCACTGGAGGTAGCCATCATGTTTAAACTGATGGATGAAACAGTGGAGCAGTCATTCGTGGTGTCGTTGTTTGACTGGTATGACCTGGGAAAGGAGTTGATTTTGGTGATGGAGAGACCCATGCCTTGTAATGACCTCGCAGGTTACCTCAAAGACCTCAAACATCCCCTCAAGAACAAGGAGGCAAAGGTCATATTAAAACAGCTGGTGAAAGCAGCCATTCATCTAAAAAACAAAAACATCTTCCACAGAGACATTAAATTGGATAATATCCTAATTAAGACGGACTCAGAGCCGCAAATCTACCTCAAAGACTTTGGGTTAAGCAGCTTTGGTGAAGGAAGACCACATTTAGATTATTGTGATGAAATTAATCAAGCCCCAATGGACTGGTTCATGCATGCTAACTATACATCTGGACCCATAACAGTGTGGCAGATAGGAGTGGTCCTGTTTGACTTGACACACAAGAAGTCATTTGAAACCAAGAAATTACATTTAAAGCAGCTACAGTACAACAAAAGGCTTTCAAAAAAAGCCAAAGATTTTTTGAATAAATGTCTGGAGCTTGACCCTCTGAATCGACCCACCCTGGAAGAGCTGCTGGTTCACCCTTGGCTTTTATAAACTACACACAAAAACACAATCACACACACAATCACTCATAGATTTTTTATTTAGTTAGATTAGTATATTTTACGGATTACTTAGGGATGGGGTAAAATGCCACAGTGGGTAAGTGGTTTTCTCCAGGTGCCCTGGTTTCCTTTTTTATATTTGAAACCACATCTATTTTAGGTTTAACTCGATTTTAGGCTTTTCTCCGGGTGCTCCGGTTTCCTCCTCTCTTAAAAAAAACATTTTAAGGTGAAATTGATATGTTTAGGTTTTCTCAACACATCTTGCCCATATATCATGGAGTTCATCATTACTGGGGATCTTTTTTTTTTTTTTAGTGGTGTAGTTCTCTTCTCTAATTCAATACATTTGCCCTCCAGGCAAGTGCAATGATCGCAAAAAAAATTATTTATCACTCAAAATTACTTTTAAATCACCGACATTCGCTTAAAAAAGGACCCACAAGTGTTGCCGGCGCCATTCTTGTTGTTTTGCACACATTCTCGCGTGTTTTGAAAAAGCCTCAGGATTTTCCGCCAGATGGCGTCATTTTTGTCCGGGAATTGGCGCGAATCAGACATATTTTTTTCAACTTGGCAGGCTAAAAAACAAGGCAAAAAAATGTAAGTAGAGTAACACACCCACCACCTACATGTAACTGTCAGCAAAACAGCATGTGAGGACCAGCAAAATGTCCTCCTTTTACAACAATCGCTCCTTAGTGTGACGGTGAAATCAGAAAAAAGGTCCTCAAACTGATGCCCAGGACCATATACGTACATATAAATACTGTGTGTTTGTTTTTGTATGTATGTGTTCTTTTAGAACGATTTAAATGTTGCTTTTAACACTAACAATCCTCTAGCATTGTTTAGATGTATTTTTAATTAGTTTTAGCTCACAGATTGATGTTGTTTTGATTAAATCTCCTTAAACCTGACTAACTCACACAGGCAAATCCTGCAAACTAAAATAAAGGATTGAGTTTTGTGATTTGATGTTCCTTAATTAATGCTCCTGGTCTAATGATTTTTTTCCTCACTGCTCCAGACGCCCCGCTTCCATCGGATCCTGCCCTCAGGTTCTGGATGTTCATGCCGAATCAGGTTTATTTCCCTTATTATATGAATGTAGGACTGTCCTCAGGTGATTTTACTGTTGATGCAGAGGATGATGATGAGTTAGAGATAGATGTGGTAAATGACGAGGAACAGATAGAAGATTCTGAAGATGAGGAGGATGATGATGAGGTAGAGATAGATGTGGTAAATGACGAGGAAGAGCTAGACGATTCTGATGATGAGGAGGATGATGATGAGGTAGAGATAGATGTGGTAAATGACGAGGAAGAGCTAGACGATTCTGAAGATGAGGAGGATGATGATGAGGTAGAGATAGATGTGGTTAATGTCGAGGAAGAGCTAGACGATTCTGAAGATGAGGAGGATGATGATGAGGAAGAGGTCGTAGATGTGGTGGTAAGTGAGGAGAAAGACATAGAGGATGAGGATGTTGAGTCTTCTTCTAGTGAGTCTCTTGAGGTGTCTAGTGACTTCTCTGGGTATGATACCGTGAGCTCTGAGGAAGAAGACAGTGAAGAAGACCCCCTTCCACCACAACTTCGGTTCACCGAGACGGTTTCACCGGAGGAAGAAGAGGACTTCCGAATTGGACGGCCCAGCATTTTATCCGGGAGGAGGAGGAGAAGAGAGGAAGATTATGAAGAGGGGCCCCTTGCCAAGATTTTTCGTCGGGATCTGTGAGAAGAGGAATTTCATCAAGAATCTTCCTTTAACTCCTTCAACAGCTTCTCACAATGAAGAGAAGCTGAGGCTTAAGCAGAAGAACCAAACATTTTACCATCTTTCTTTGGATCATCTTGCAGAGGAGTTAGATGTATTTTCTTGATTTGATGATGATTGGAGGTGGAAACAGCTATATCTAGATATAATTTATTGATTGTGTTTATATCTGGCAGGTCTAGGGATGCCTTAGGTAGCGTCTTGCACCGTGGCTTTTCTTTACCCCGCTGCTAGATTTTGTTTTATAGATGCTAAGGAGTCTGGCAGGTCTAGGGATGCCTTAGGTAGCGTCTTGCGCCGTGGCTTTTCTTTACCCCGCTGCTAGATTTTGTTTTATAGATGCTAAGGAGTCTGGCAGGTCTAGGGATGCCTTAGGTAGCGTCTTGCACCGTGGCTTTTCTTTACCCCGCTGCTGGATTTTGTTTTATAGATGCTAAGGAGTCTGGCAGGTCTAGGGATGCCTTAGGTAGCATCTTGCACCGTGGCTTTTCTTTACCCCGCTGCTGGATTTTGTTTTATAGATGCTAAGGAGTCTGGCAGGTCTAGGGATGCCTTAGGTAGCATCTTGCACCGTGGCTTTTCTTTACCCCGCTGCTGGATTTTGTTTTATAGATGCTAAGGAGTCTGGCAGGTCTAGGGATGCCTTAGGTAGCGTCTTGCGCCGTGGCTTTTCTTTACCCCGCTGCTAGATTTTGTTTTATAGATGCTAAGGAGTCTGGCAGGTCTAGGGATGCCTTAGGTAGCGTCTTGCACCGTGGCTTTTCTTTACCCCGCTGCTGGATTTTGTTTTATAGATGCTAAGGAGTCTGGCAGGTCTAGGGATGCCTTAGGTAGCATCTTGCACCGTGGCTTTTCTTTACCCCGCTGCTGGATTTTGTTTTATAGATGCTAAGGAGTCTGGCAGGTCTAGGGATGCCTTAGGTAGCATCTTGCACCGTGGCTTTTCTTTACCCCGCTGCTGGATTTTGTTTTATAGATGCTAAGGAGTCTGGCAGGTCTAGGGATGCCTTAGGTAGCGTCTTGCGCCGTGGCTTTTCTTTACCCCGCTGCTAGATTTTTTAAAAAGTTTTAAATGTTAAAAATTTACGGTGTGAAACACGAGAGCTGGTTAAGGCAGAAATAATCTAACATGCTCTAAGTCTAATGAGAGAGCGTGACAATCTCCTAGCTAACAGAAGCCAAACCAAACAATCTAAGGATTGATTTAAAAATGAGGTTTGAACAGAAGAAACACAGAATGGAGGCAAATCAACAAAAACTAAATAAAAACACAGAAAATAAAATCCTGGAGGCAAACCAAACCAAAAAAAGGCAACAGCTGGACATCGCTGCTGGGGATGCATCGAAACCTTTAAGGAGTGAGACCTCGCTGCTGAGGACTAAACCCCGGAGGTCTAACTAAGATCCTAAAGGTCTAAAAGTGGAGATGAGGAAAACATAAAGTCTAGAGGCAGAGGGACAAGGCTGTGGTGGAGACTGATTAGAAGGTCTTTAGAGCAGAGCTCTCTAACTCCAGTCCTCTACAGCAGTGTTTCTGCAGCCTTCAGGTGCATCTCTCCTCCAAAACACCAGGATCAAACAACTCTACAGCTGAATCACTGATGAGAAAATTCAGACGTTTGATTCAGGTCTGATGGAGAAGAGATGTGACTAAAAGTTGCAGCATAGCAGCTCTGGAGAAGTGGAGTTGGAAAGCCCTGATCTATAGCAGGACAATGCTGCTGGAGACCAACTGGATCTAGAATAGAACAGTGGCAAAGATTGCAGTGGTCACCAGTTGCACTGGTCTCTGGGATGATGGTGAGAAGGTAAAGATGATGCTTGGAGGGACTAATTGATTTCAGAGCAGTTGGAAGCAGAGGACAGGACTGATTTAGGGATGTGGATTGTGAATGGCGCCGACTGTTAGAACCCGCTTTCAGCTGTGAGTCGATCTAGTTCTAGATGTTCCTCAGTTAGTTTTCAGGCCTAGTTTAAGGGAAAGAACCTGTGCAGAAATACTCTCCATGTGATCTAGGCCAGTTCTGACCGCAGTGGATCTCTTCTGTATTTTTTGAATCCCATGTCGGACCGAGCCGCTACAAGCTTTGGGCCGTCAGAAGATGCTGATGAGATCTACGGCGACCAAACCAGAGGAGCAGTAAACAGTGAGAGCATGTTCAGTAAGGAGCAACAATGATCCATCATTTAAATATAAAGTCAACATTTCAGGAGGCCTCTCTTAGTTTTTCATGTATTTTCAGGAACTGTGGACGTCCAAAATCAGAACTGCTGTGAGGAACCGGGACATCCAGGATGCTGAGGAGCCTCCCAGTCCCCACCTGAGGACGGCACAGAGGAAAACACGTGCAGTAAGCCTTTATTAACACGACAAACAGACAACTCAAGCTTCCCAGGCAGAACACAGAGAGACCAAGATGACTATTTGAACAACATCCTGCTTCAGATTTAAACTTGGTGGAAATTCTGTAGATTAATTTATCTTCTTTTTACGGGGAAAGCGGGTTCAATATGGAAGCAGCGTTCTAGCAGTTGGATCTCCGTGGAACAGAGTCCATCCACACGTGTTTGAAGGTATGTTGGTTGTTAGACTAGAGAGGAATCCCATGCAGACAGTTTCAGACTCTGAGGACGCTTTGCTTTCATTGATGAAGGAGCTGAAGCAGAGGATGGAGAACACAGACCACCAAGGAGGAGAAACATGGCTCCTCTGCTCGTCTCTCCAACATTCTGGAGTCCTGGAATGAAAAACGTCGACGGCCTCGCAGCTAAACCATCAGTCTGCTCCAGAAAGAAGGTAAAGAACCTTTATTGCTTCCAGATGTTCATCAGTATTGGTGATGACAATAAAAACAGATCCAGAACAAATAGATTCAAAAGCCAAAACCATCCCATCAAGGTGGTCTAACCTTTAATCCTCATCTTTCCATCATGAATGGATGTTTACCTAAATTTATATCTCTATAACCAAAACTTAACCAGAATCAGAAGTTCTGACTTTTCCATTAGACCACAGATAAACAGTTCAGAAGCAGCTTCTAATCCAATATGGGAGAATTTCCCCCTGGTTGATCTCTGAAGGGTTTTTAGAACTTATTAAAGCAGAGAAACGACCCTGATGAAACCGACTGTAGCCTCCAACAAATGCAGCATTTTCAGGCATTTTCTCCAAGCATCCATTGTCTACAGTTATCACTGCTGTTAGCTTTAGCTTCTCCCTGTGTGTTTTCCTCTTCTCTTGGTTAAATTGACACCTCTCTCAGTGTTTCTGTGTTTAAATGTCACAGACTAGTGTGATCTCTCACTAACTCCTGTTCTTCTCTTCCAGCAGATTTCTTCCGTCATCTCCTCGTTGGACCGGCACCTCTTGGACGTCTGCTGTCCTGTTAAAGACCCGCTCTGCCGCAGTAGATGGGCGCTGACATGGAGCCGGGTTCTGCTGGAGGATCCTTCCTGCTTCAAGCTAGTTTTCCTCTCTACTATCAGCACTTCATTCCTCAGAAGGATGCTACAAGATTAATGACTGGATGCGGTTGGCTGAGCTTCCTTGGATTTAAGACATTTCTCTAAATGCCAAAATAGACTTAAATTATCTTCACCATATTGTAAAAAGGATCGTATTGGATGTTTATGATTGATTTCATTCTGTGTTTGTTTTGAATTCTGTTAAATTTTTCTGTTTTAAAGCTCTTGTGTAAATTGCCTTGAGATGGCCTGTTTTTATTTCACTAGACTAAATTATATTAAATCCTGCCTACTGGGTCTGGTTCTACTAAGAGATCCTTTATTTTATTCTATATTCACCTGTTATTTTTTACTATAATAAATCTGTGATTCAAGTCATGTGAACAGGATCTGTTGGTCTTTTTTAGTAAATGTTGAAATAAGTGGTTTTAAATTGGTTCTTTATAAATAAGCCAAACTGAAGTCAACAGGAGCAGAGTTCTAATATTACTATATGTGAGGTAGTTTGGTCAAGGATCAGCAAGGTGAACAAAACAAACAGGATCAGCCTCCGGTTCCAGATTCCTCTGAGGATTTTTATTCAGCACTTTTCACTCTGACAACCATCTCCCTGAGCTTCCAAGATCTCAGTGGCTGTATAACCAATTGGCAACACACCTGCAGTTGAGTGGACCAAGCCACAATTAAACAGGTAGAAAACAAACAAAGTCTAAACAGAGAAACAAGAATAAAATGATTAATCTAATTTACAAACCTTTCTACATAATGAAACAGTCTGCAAAATAAACAATGTGATAGAAGATAACTCAAAAATTTGCTTTAAAGAAAAACAAAGCTTTACTCCAAAGAAAACCACTCTAAATGGAAGAACCCAGCAAGGTAATCAAGGCCATCATCTAGCCAATTTAACAGGAAATACAAGCAATGTTGAGTATAAAGTATAATAAATACCATGATTATACCTGGAAACAAAATACACAACTTCAACCAATAATCCAGAAGTAGTAGCTTTAGCCTAAACATAAATAGATGGAAACTGCAACCTAATGCTACACAAACAAACCCGGGATAGTAAGTGAAGCAAAGTTGCAAATTAATGTTTATATTTAAGCATTATGAATCAGAAATAAGAATAAGGGTGAATGCAAACTGAACCACTTTGTCACACTATAGTACAGCGGTTTGGTAGATTGGTGGTCATTATGTTTCTCTGTGAGGGGGGTCTAACCTGACAGCTCATGTAAACATATTAAACTGGTCATCTTGCAGCGTCTGAACAAATTAGCTCTATAAAAGGACAGGAAAAGCATAAAAAAAGTTAGTGGAGCCAAAATACTGCGAAACCAAACTAACTTCACTCTGTAACAAACCATACAAACAAGTTAGTGGTCGTTGTTCATCAGTGGCAGTTCCAGAAAATGTTGGTAGAGGTGGCCAGTTTGCACAGAGGGGAGGATGAAAATGAACAGGTGCTAAAAAATATTTTACAGTCAATCTCTGCTGATCACAATAAACAACAGGAACATGAATTCAAACATCTATATTTTCCAAATAAATCACTAAAAACAGACCAGATTTTCATGAGGCCCTTGCAAATAAAGCTCCACACATATTTATACATCGTTCGAGATTAAATAAAAATGTTTTCTACATAATATATACAATTAATGGGTTGAGCAGTAATTCTTTATCTCTAATAATATAGTATACTCCCTATATGACTGCAGAGACAAACTCTCTCCTATAAAACCTAAAAATGAATTTGTCAAAGAACATGCATTCTGTCTTGGTCCTTTTTAATTGTGTTTTATTGTCATAAATAACTTTTTGCTGTATTTTTCTTGTCAGTTTTTGGTTAATAATTTCCCTCTCATGCACGAATTATGATAAATTCAGTCAGGATCTTTTTACTAAGTGTTTTTATGAATCCTTAGGAATGTTAAACTGGTTTTAATGCTTTTATCTCTATTTTATAAATAAATATTTTATGAATAAATATTTTATAAATAAATATTTATTCATCTGCCCTCAGGTTAATATAGTCTATTAACCTGAGGGCTTTAACATGTAAACAGGAGAAGCGACACAAGTGAAATTAGACACTGCCGTCAGACAATATACTAATTTATAAATATTTTAACTCAGGTTTAGAACACTGTTACCTGCTCCGCTGGTTGTGCCACAGAGGTCGAAAATGAAATGGCGTGTGCCCTCTGGGCCACCGTAATCTGCTCAGGCTACTTGTAAGTGCACAGCCTGCCAAATGTTGAAAGGGCAATATTATTGCCATTACTGTTAATGTATAATAGAAATTCACACATTCAGTAATAAAATGTTACAGGGCATGATATGGGGGGATGGTCATTTAAGAAGGGGCATGATTTTTAAGATTTGTTTTAAGACGCCTTCACCCCTCATTCCCCATCAACTTGAGTACTGCTCTTGGTTCCCGGTCGGAGGAGTCTATTTAACCTCCTGGGCTTCTTGGTCCATGCAGTCCTGTTCTTCCATTTCTCTTCTGTCTGCTCTGATGTATCCTTCCTTTGCTCTTCTAGCTTCTTCTTCTTGGGTACCAGGATCTTCTCTCCTTCCTCAGTGTTGTCAAAAGCCTCACTGAGACCTTGAATCATCTCCTCTGCAGAATCTAGGCTTGCTTCTTCTGCTCCTCTGATTTGCTTATCGCCGTTCTTCAGACGGTCTCACTGTTTCTTCCCCAGCTTGGTCTTAGCCTCTGGTGTTTCTTTGTCCTCCCTGCAGATCAGGAACAGATGAACACCTTCACCTTTTAACCACGGTATAGATGGAGTCCTGCTGCTTAAAGTTGTACTCACTCAGAATACACAGAGCTCAGGACTTCCTTCTTCTTCCTCACCTTCCGTGCCTTGACTTTACAGTTTTTCAGATCACTCAGCTCCTCCTTCTCAGACCTTAGGAAGCAAAGACAGACGTTACTAAATGATCTGAACTATTCAAACATCTTAATCAGTCCAGTCAGTACCTGAACCTGCAGGTCTTCCTCAGCGAGTACCAGCGGTTCAGCTCCTCGTCATCCGCATTCAAGATGGAGGTGGAAAAAAGAGGTTATTTTGGCGAATTAAAACAAGTCCACACAGTAAAGTAAACTGCTTTATGTAGCGGCTTCATCTCACAGGAATATGGTTTGCTCAGAGAGAAGATTGGAGTGGAATCATTCCTTGGTCAGAGTTCTCTCCAGAGGAATACCAGATCAGAATGAACAGATCTTATCACTGCAGAGTAAAAATCACTGAGCTCCATCCATTAAAGCTGCACATCAACAGCTCACATGATATCTAATCATTTTGACCTTTTCATGATGATGGGCTACTGTACAAAGCCTCAAACTCAAAGCTATTCCTGAAATTTTTAACTGAAAAAGCTTCCTGGATGGGAAGCGAAATGTCTTCAAACTTGGAAACAAAGTCCAGCGGATTGTTTTTAATTGTCTTTTTCTGGAATATCATTAAGGTGGTATTTCTCTTTTCATGGAGACTCAAACACATGACTTCATCATTATAGTTAGTAACTTTTCAGACCTATTTGTTTCTCCATTCTCAATGTGCCCATCCCAGAGGTGTATATTAATGATGGGTTAATGAGGGATCTTGAAGCCAAACTCTATTGATCTTGGATTGAGACTGTTTCACAGAATACTGACACCTGCTGGACATTTAAAGACACTACAGGCAGCTTATTTGACAGACTAAACTGAATAACTGAATTGATTTGATAACCTAGTACAATTATATAGTTTAAGTTATTGTAGGTTATATCGTATTATTCCATATCTTTGTTTAAATTGAAAATATCTTTGATTTTTTTTTTTTTTTTTGATGCAGCCAATAAATAATGTAAATATATAATGTGAAAATTTAGGGGAATATGTGAATGAGAATGCTTGTGGACTAGGATTTTAAATCCTATTTTTAAAACAATAAGTAAAGAAAAAAAGATTAAATAAACTAAGAGTCAATTTGAAATTAACTTTAATTCAGATAAGTTGAGTGATAACGAAGAGGAAAAGTATGACACAATGAGAAAATTAAAATAAAAACACAATGGCTGAAACGTTCCTATTCCTTTTCGGCTGCTACAAAATTATTAATATTGTTAATGATAAACCGCAAAAGATTATACCTTATTTTTTAGCAGATGCATGATGTTAACAGATTTAGGCATCAGTGTTACTGGACCCATCACTAGTGTAGAGAAAGTTCTCTATAGATCAGTATGGAGAGTAGCTGCCTTGCATTCTGAAAATAGTGGGTTCATTTCTAACCCATTTGCCCCCTGGGGAAAGCACTTAACCCCAGGTTGTCTACCAATCTGTGTAACTGTGCATGTGAGTGAATGGGTCTAGTGCTTTGAGATGCTAGTATGACTAGAAAGGCACCATATAAATTCAGTCCATTCAGAGATGCTATTTGAACTGCAAAAGAGGTTAATTTTCTTGAAATTATGTGCCGTGTCAAATTTCATGCATGAAATTACATTTTCTGGCTCTCAATAAATTTGCATTCAATTGAACAGTTTAGTGCATGATGGGATTCAGTGTTCTGCTTCTCATTCTTGTAGAATGCCAAAATAACTTCTTTTTCAGGCATCTTTTTAAGTAGTTGCACAATTTTTTCATTTTTTTATTTCAATGACAATGATAAATTAAATCAACTGGATTTATGGATTCTAAAGTAACTAAGCCTGCACACTAAGAACCATTCTCTCTTTTTTTCTTAGGCATAGCATTATAACCTTAGATTTCAAATCTTTTAAGTATATCTATCCATCTTTGTTTCTCCTTTTAAAGGTTGTATTTAAATGTAACCGCAGCCTCTTCTATATACAGACCACCCCCAGGTACTATAAAAGATTTGATGCGGTCTGAAGAAAGTAGAGACAGGTCTTTGAGGAAAATACGTTTTAGTTCCAAACCTTTTCTATTTCACTTCTCCTTGGTGTGTTTGCTTTGGTATTTTTTGATGGTATAGGAAGAGAGCTGTTTTTTTTCACTTGAGTGCCTTAAATCCAGTTCTTATAGCTTGTAGATTCATTCTTTTCATGGAGCTTCCCTTAGGGACCTTCTTTATAGTAGTGAGCATATAAAACATATACACTGGTGGTGACCCCTAAGCCCAGGAGTATATTTCAGCCTTTGAACCCATAGCACAGAAACTAACATGATATCCTTCTGTACATGGTGTAACTGTCGGAAAGAGCTTCTGCTCTATGTTGATGTCATATTGTTAGTCTTGATTAAAACTAAAATTTCCATCCCCACTCTACTACATCTTATTAATACTTCTACCTCCTAAATGAGTTACTGTATCAGTTGGGATAAATCAGAGATGTTGTCTTCCCCAGGCTATTGATCAACCACCCTTAAAGGAGAATTCCGGTTTTTAACACTTTTAGCCCATTTTCTGTAGTGTCCAGGATGAAATCGAATGATCGACACCAAAATTTTGACAATTGGTCCTGTCTCTGCTTTTTGGCTCATGCAGAATCCCCCCCTGGCTGCTTCAGAATGGCTTCCATTGTGCATGTCCGATAATGTCCTTAAAACAACCTTAAACGTTCTTTTTTTAAAATATGCTACTCACCGAGTCGTCAGCGCTGTTCAATGACGTTCCAAAAAAAGTTTCGTAAAGAAAAAACGTTCCTGTAGTGTTTTATTTAGCATTTTGTAAATCCCATTGAGTTCTGTTGGAATAGTCAATATTCCCCTGCCACCGGAAACAGAAATGGGGCCTGTTTACACAGTTGTAGTCTTTTCGCTTCACTCTGTGTACTCCGACGTCGAGAATCAAGAATCCACCTTTCGTATTCCATTTTCAGAGTTTTTTAAAGTGTTTAACAGAGACGTTAGCACCTCGACGTCGGAGTACACAGAGTGAAGCGAAAAGACTACAACTGTGTAAACAGGCCCCATTTCCGTTTCCGGTGGCGGAGGGATATTGACTATTCTAACAGAACTCAATGGGATTTACAAAATGCTAAATAAAACACTACAGGAACGTTTTTTCTTTACGAAACTTTTTTTGGAACGTCATTGAACAGCGCTGACGACCTGGTGAGTAGCATATTTAAAAAAAAGAACTTTTAAGGTTGTTTTAAGGACATTATCGGACATGCACAATGGAAGCCATTCTGAAGCAGCCAGGGGGTGATTCTGCATGAGCCAAAAAGCAGAGACAGGACCAATTGTCAAAATTTTGGTGTCGATCATTCGATTTCATCCTGGACACTACAGAAAATGGGCTAAAAGTGTTAAAAACCGGAATTCTCCTTTAATACTTACCACAGTAAACGTAATTTAATGTGTTTTAAGGTCATCAGACTTCATAAAGTGCTGTATAAATACAGGCTATTTACCCTTTTGTCAAATGTTTATACCCATCTTCATTGCAAACCAAAACTTGCGGCATACCTACCTAAAAAAAGGACTCAGCTAAATCAACCTTTTCTTTTTCTGAGGAAGTACTGTAAAAAAAAATATTTTGTCAACTAAAAATATATATTTTTATTTGGAATAGGTCAACTTTATTCAAAATGTATACACTTTTTCTAAAATCTGTCTGTTCTTTTTAAAGTCCAGGTTACTCCAAACAATTCTTGAAACCAATCATTCGAGTTACTTTCACTAACAAATATGTGGCCCATTGAGCCAGTCCAGTGCAAGCTTGTTTAGCCCAAATTAATTTAACATATTTTTTATTTATTAGTTTCAGATCATACTAAGCTCAATTAAATTATGTTTATTAATATAGCAACAGTCCACAACATATGTCATCTCATTTACAGATCATTCAACTAGTAAAACAGTCAGATTGATTCAAAGTTTTCTGTCTAGGGGAAAACAAGCCGATTGCATCGACTCATTGACTGGACAGCACTCCCTCACACCAATCGAGCTTATAGCGACAGTGGGGAGGAAAACTCCCTTTTAACAGGAAGAAACATCCAGCAACAAGTCGTAGTGTTTTGAATCATTGACCTTTGGAAGTTACAGTTACTTCACTACTGGTGTTGCAGCACTGGCTATATTTATTGCCAAATAGTTTGCTGATGAGGTCTAAATTTGATCTGAGCAAGATCCCATCACTTTCAAATACTTAATATTTTTTTTGCCTGGAATCGACTTGAATATAATAAATTATCTGGATGTTTTTGTCCAGATGTTCACAGTATTCATTGAAGATGAGAATAAACAACCAGTTGGTGAGAACTGAGTTCTGTCGACTGAAAATCTTAGTATACTGAAAAGGTCAGCAACCCACTGTTCCAGAGCCTTAAGCGGCTCTTTAATGCCTCCCTTGTGGCTCCATGGAGCTTTTTCAAAAATGTATGAAAATGGAAAAAGATGGATTTATTTTGGTCTGTTTGTATTCTTTTTTTTTTTTTTTTTAACATAGCATACTTTTCCATGAAAGGCATGCTCAGTATGCAGCTAAATACCACCAAGTTGGAAGTGAGAGAAAAATGTGATTAGAGAACTTCTGGATAAATTACAGGAGCGCAAAGATGGAAAAGAAAAGGATTGCATCTCCAAACTCCACTACTGCTGCTAGTTTTGTTGAAAGCATTGAAAACTGTCAACAGATCATACAGGTAGCATTCCTATGCTGGTATGTTAACATCCTCCATTATGTAAATCTGATTTCTTTATTGTGTTTCTATAGTTTCATGAGTGCATCAAATAATACATTAATATTGTAATGGAATTTAAACTTAAAGCATCACATATTGTACAGCAGATTAGTTGCATGATGTGACATTTGCTCCAGGTTAAACATTTAATCATGAATCATATATTAAAGCCCACATTGTCCTTTTTTTATAGTGGCCTAATACACTTAGAGCCTGTGTCGCATACGAGGCTTATATAAGACTTTTACATTTTTGCGGCTCCGCACAGATTTTTTTAATTTTGTTTTTGGCCCCATATGGCTCTTTGAACAGTTTGGGTTGCCGAACCCTGATCTACTGAATGCTGGGTTTTACAGTGAATCCTTGCAGGGTTGAGGAAAGGGACAAGAAGGTGTGCCTATCTCTGGCAGTCATTGGGCAAAAGGTGGGTTACAGTAAAAAGTGTAGGGTTGAAAAAAGAAATCATTTGCAATTGTATAAATGTAGAACCATAAAAATATTTCCCATGGTTTTTGATGTCAGTCTTTTTATATTTAGCTGCAGCACATTTTGGGTCAGAAGAAAAAAGGGCTCAGAAATTGATGTCGACATT